GTAGGACCTGGGCACCAGCTTGGTGTTCAGGGAGGTGAGTTTCAGAGTAGTCTGCTACCTTCGAGAGTCCAGAGAAGAGTTGGTTTCCTGAGGATTTCACACCGTAGATTAGAGTACAAACGATCATGATTTTCACAAGCTGAGAAGGATCAAGATCGTCTTTCCACAGATACTTTTGATAACGATAACATGTAGGATCTAAACGAACCTGGTTGTAGGCCATCCTCAGATCACAGGCAAAGGCTCCTGCTCCAACTCGGAAGTTGTTGATGAGGTTAGGGATCTGTGCAAGTTTGTTCTCACCTTTGGTGAGGATATTATTCAGAGACTCTCCACCAGGGGTAAAAACCATTCTGCACGGAGTTGAGAGAGAACCAGCCTTCCATACAGAACGCCAGGGTATAAAATATCCAGAGTCGGAACTATCCTCGACAAGCCTCTTCTCCTCAGGAGACAGTTCAGAGAGAGGTAGGACATACTCACCAGAGGTTAGTTTTGCATGAGCAGCAAGGACGTCTAGACGTGCAGATTCATTCTTCAAGAGTTGGCAGAGTTGGGAGTCAAGGATCTTTTCAGCCTGATAACGATTTGGCTGAAGATGTTCTTTAGGATCTGCATTGAATTCAAGCTGAGGGATCATGAAACCTCCGACAGAGTCGAAGGATACACTCTGATCAATCAAATATTGTTCATGTTCTTCCTTAAGTGATGCTGATTCTAACGATTCACCTTTTTTACAATTGTTACAGTTCCTGCATCGTACACATCTGTAGGTTACTTCAGATCCAAGTTGTTCAGCATCCTCGAAACGAGTAAATTCATGACGGAGGCTGTAGACAAAATCTTCAATATTCCAGGAGGTTGGGATGATCCATTCATCTAGATCACCGTGTCCCCCCCCCCCTTCCGTGCAAAAAGTATACACTGCATATATAGTAAACTGTAAATATTATACAGCCCTGAATATATAGTATACAGTATATACCACTGAATATATAGTATACTGTATACAGTATACACCCCTGAATATATAGTATACAATATACAGTATACACCCCTGAATGTATAGTATACAGTATACAGTATACACCCCTGAATAATTACCGATTCATGTTTTTAATAGAGGAGACATTTTCTCAAGACAACTACTGACTAATCAAGGAATTTAAGTTGAACAAAATCTGCTTCAAAAATTGATTTTACGTATGTGTCAAATATGTCTCAAATGTCTGACATCGATCAAAAATTGATTGAGGCGCTGATATAACTTTTATGTTCTTCGAAGATTTTTTTTCGTTTTTTTTCTTTCCATTATGGAATTTTACTAAGGATTTTGTTATTTGTAATTGTTATAATTGATTTAGGTCTAGAAATATATCTGTTACAAATACTAAATCCATTACAACATTTCCTAATGAAAAGAAGAAGAAAAGACAACAATTATTCTGCTATTTTCTGGAGACCACTGTATTATTTTTAGGGAGAAGCGTCAGAGGAAGTTTCCGTTTATCTTTCTGCTACAGGGTGTGAAGCCGGGGAACTAGGTAAATATTGCGGAATTCAAGAAATCTATTTTTTTCTTCAAAAAAGATTTCTTTTCAAAAATCTATTTTTTTGTTTAAAAATTCGATTTTTTAGTCCACGCGAGCTAGTTTTTAAAAAGGGGATGGTGGAGTTGGCACATTTGATGTAGGGGGGGGGGGGCCTGCCTTCATTTTTGGTTCAAATCTTCCAATTTTTTGGGTGCACGCCTAATTAGTGATCGAAATTCCTAAAATAAAATCAAATTGAATTTTAATGACCTCTAATGACCTCCAGAAATAGAAAATATTTCAACTATGGCTTTATGCACATCAAACGAAAGCTAGGGACCCAGGGAATACAGTAGCAGCAAAAAATCCAGTGTTTGACCTTCTAATGACCTCTTACGACCTCTAATGACCTAAATGACCTCCAAAAATGAAAATGTTTTAACTATGGCTTGATGCATATCAAACGAAAGCTAGGAACCCCAGGAATACACTAGCAGCAACAAATCTAGTGTTTGACCTTCTAATGACCTCTGACGACCTCTAATGACCTCCAAAAATGAAAATGTTTTAACTATGGCTTTA